GCGCAGCGTCGCGTCGCGCCACATCTTTAAAATTCAAATACATTATTTTCTATGAGTGTAGCCACACTGGCGGCGCCGTTCGGCGTCTGTCCGCGGCGCCCAGCTACGTCGTGTTATACTTGTAAGAATTGTTCTAGACATGCCGAAAATTTGACGCTACAGCACAGCAGCACTTCTTCTTTGTCGTCTCGTCTGATGCGCTCACTCAACCAAGAGTTCTAACTACAACCTCGCCCCTCCCCACCCCCCAACCATTCGAATCTCCGTAGGCGGGAATTATTTGTAATGATATTCCAATGAGCCGCTTTGTGATATCACAAAGCCCGGAAAACAAACGCTGTAGTCCAAACGAGCCGTTTGTTGTAGTTCTTGAAAAGGGATTTTTAAAAAACGAAATATCTCCCTTTGGAGTGTACTTTGAGATTTGTAACTTTCTAGATCTTTTTTATGCCCAAACATACACACTACACACTGACTAAAATTAAAAAAGTGAAAAAGCATAATAGGACCCCTTTAAGAAAAAAATTTTCACAGAAAGGTTCTTTGGGAAAACCACAATGGTTCTTCTATTGCAGGGGTCCTGGAGGGCCGGTGTCCTGCAGAGTTTAGCTCCAACCCTGATTAAACTCACCTGAACCAGCTAATCAAGCTCATAGGTATACTTGAAACTTCCAGGCAGGTGTGTTGAGGCAAGTTGGAACTAAACTCTGCAGGACACCGGCCCTCCAGGATCAAGTTTGGTGACCCCTTTTCTATTGCATCGCTATTAAAACCACTTTTTTGGAACCATTTTTAAAAGTGTAGGTTAACTAGGATTAGAAATTAATCAGGTCACATGTTTAGTCATAGTTTCCAAGAAAACTTTTTTGAGAAGATCAACGTTTAAATTAGTCAAGGGTCACAGTGCCATATGGGGTAAAACAATTCATTAGCTAATCGTGAACTCTGTGTTCCCTTGTGTTCTTTCAGTCTATCATTACACGTCTATCATTATCTTTGTTTTGTGCATAGACATAGATGATGTAGTGTCAATATGAGAACACAAGCTTATTAAGAAACTCCAGGTCATTAAGAGGTCAGCTGAAGATGTGAACATTTGCACTGTATACATCAAATAACCAGACCTTATTCAGTAATGAAACATAAAAGTGAGAAAGCATTTCATTACTGATTTTACTATATTAAATGATGTTCTAGAGAGTGATTAACCTCAGCAAACAGATATTAGTCATAGGTGTTACAAACATCTAATTAGGAATCATATTATTCACAGTCCTTTTGTTTAAGGGTCTTTTGATTGGGGTTTGCTCTCATCTGCTTTAATAGAGTCAAGTATAAGTAAGTAGCGATCAGTCTTTTATGCATAAAAGTACATTTTGTCTAGGATGCTGCTTCCCTGCATTTAATTAAAGGACATGCGTTGAGCATCAGAGGAATTGTGACGTTATTTATGGGTTTTGAAAGAGCCGTCTCCAGACTGCCAACAAATGGTATTATCCTCATTGCCTAATGCAGTGAGCAAGGCCAAGAGTCCATGAGGGGGATGTTCTGCTTTAGTAAATGAAGGCTTTAATCAAAACATTGCAGGTCTGTTTAACTTTTATGTTAGTGGAATATGTAGCTAGCACAGCAGCTGTAGATTTCTCTGTGTTATGGGAATGTGTGCCCTTTCATGTTGTATGTACCCTTTCATTTGCCACTGTAAGTGTAACGCTAATAAACATCCTGTAGTTTTTCTACATTTGTTAATGTTTGCTTTCCTTCAGAGAGAGTTTTGCCTTTGAGCATTACTGTTTTCAGATGTGTACTCTGTAAAGATCCCTGTGGGAGAAGAGAGTTGGGACACAATTGCTTGTCAGAGAATCAGGCTGTAAGATGAGAGCGCAAGAGAAAGGAGAAGACTTTGTGTTGAAAATCAGTGACACAGATTTTGACCGTAGGCTTTAATTACAGCCTTTAGTCCGTTGGGAAATGTCTCTACTAACTTTGCACATCTAGACTTTGCAATATTTGCAAGTTCAGTTAAATTTGATGGTTTGTGGACTGCAGTCTTCAAGTCATTCCACAGATTTTCAATGGGGTTGAAGTCTGATCTCTGACTAGGCCATGAAAGGACATTCACCTTTTTCTCCTTCAATCACTGTGTGCTCAGATTTGCTGTGTGCTTTGGGTCTTCGTCATGTTGGAAGGTAAACCTTCTTCCCATTGACAACTTTCTGACAGTGGGCAACAGATTTTCCTCAAGAATTTGACGATATTTTGCCTTCTATCCTGACAAGTGCTCCAGTCCCTGCTGCAGAGAAACACCCCATAACAGGATATTACCACCTCCATGCTTTACTGCAGTGGAAAAAGTTTGGGAACCACTGCTTTTACTGTAGGAATAGTGTTATTTGGTTGGTGAGATGTATTGGATTTCCGCCAGACATATAGCTTGGTGTTGAAGCTAATAATTCAATTTTAGTCTCATCTGCCTCAGAATATTCAAGGTGCGTTTTGGCAAAGCTCAGTCGTGACTGCATGTGGCCTTTCTTGAGGAGTGGCTTTTTACTTGCAACCCTCCCATACAAGCCACATTTGTGGAGAATTTGTGATATTGTTGGCACATGCACACAATGACCACTCTTTGCAATAAATTCCTGTAACTGCTTCAGAGTTGCTGTAGGCCTCTTGGTATCCTCTCTGACCAGTTTCCTCCTGGCTCTTTCATCCAGTTTGGAGCGACGTCCTGATCCAGGGAGGGTCTGTGTTGTACCAAATACCTTCCACTTAGTTCTTCCACTGTACTTCTAGGCATTGATAAAGCCTTTGAAATTTTTTTTTATCCATCTCCTGTCCACAACTTTATCCCGGAGATCTTTATTTGACCGTAGTCATGTTGCTGAGAAGAGCTGGAGAGATGGTTGTCAGAGAAACCAAGATAAAGTTGGAGGCTTATCAGTACAGATGCATGTCGATAATGAAAGGAGGACTGTCACACAACACCTGGGAAACTACATCAGTTTCTAAAGAATTTTTAAAACATTTTTAAGTATATCCTTTGTTTTTGGTGCTTACTCATACTACAGACTTCAAATCATGCAGGAACTATTCCAGTGGATCTGAGTAAAAAATATTTTTGCTAGGCAGACAATAAAATGGGTGAAAGAATCACATAGATTTACCTTTTTATGGACTACAATATGGACCAAAAATTTGATAAGCAACCACCCAGAACAACCTAGCATGTTGCAACATGTTAAAACATGCTAAGCATAGAAACATGCTAAATCCCCCCCTCAAAACATCTTAGCAACTGCATATCAATAGCCTGGCAACCTTCTCTTACATTAAAAATATTTTAATGTATTTTAAATTGCATGTTTTCCTTTCCACCCATAGTTGATTGTTTGCTTCAGTTGCACTACCAATGACTGAAATGCTCCAGGAAAGCTCAGGAAATCGAAATGACCACAGCTGATCACAGTTGATCCTTTTTCCAACTCAGTGAATCTGTTTTTTTATTTTTGTATTTTTTTCTGACATGTTGGTGTTATATCTTTTACTTGGATGTTATAAGTTGCACTGAGTAAATAAAGCTGGATAAAACAAAAAATGTGTCCGTCTTCATTTCAGGCTGCAAAAAGCAACAAAATGTGATCATTTTAAAGGGGGGTGATTCTTTTCTGTACCCACTGTATGTTTGTTCTTCCATGGTATTAGTGCCTTAAAGTGAACACCATGATAATTGCATGTGATAATAATCTCTTTCTGTTGTATATCAGAGTTCCATTGTATTTCCATTCAAAACCATTGTCCTTCCATGGTACCATGCCCATGAAAGGGCTATGGGCTTGCTTTTTAACCCTTTTCAGATTCAGAACATAGTGTGAGTCAACCAGATGGAGATATGCATCACATATCTACAATCAGTGTGCAGTTGGATCAATGCCTACTATAATAAAATGAGC